CTAAATAGGGACAAATCTTCTATGAAAATCCACACAGCAAAACTACATCTGAAAGGCCAGTTGATCCTATCCTGTTACTCAGCAGTGCCAGCACTTTTTGTGTTCAGTTCATTTTTTAAAAGCCCATAGATTTCTGTGACCGACCAAGCCCCTAAAAGCTTGAACAGGGTTTGCAAGCATAACCTTATCTGTTGATAGGCTGGGGATCCTGGTGGAGGGGCAGTCAGGCTCTTGGTCCCTAGGTGGCAGGCCAAGCCCAAGTAAATCACTGCAGCAGGCGTGAATTAGTGCTATTGCTGTCTGCATTTGAGTGGGGGTGTAAGCTTATCAAGCTGCTGACCCTGAAACTGGAGCCTCTTTGGCAAGTAGTGATCCAGGTTGTGGCCCCCCATGGGGCTCCAGGGTTACAGGGCAATGGGGGGGAAGGGGGGGGGCTGTGGGAGCAAATCAGGCGATGGCCACCAGAGGTCGCCTGTGGATCCTCCAAGCAACTTCATGCATCCAGTTCCTTAGCATCCAAAAGGTTTTGTCTATGAAGTGATGTCTAGACTTTTGTGCTTTATGGGCTACTAAAACATTTTCCTTATGAATCATCCGAGACTTTTCTAATTCTTTCCTGATGGCTTTTGCAGATCCGAGGACTCCAGCTCTGATTCCCCCTTTCTCCCTCCACCCTCCCTTTCGCTTTTCAAGACCCACCATGGCTTTTCCATAACTTGCTTTCTCTTTTTTCTTTCCCTTGATCCTCCCTCTGGTGACAGCCCCTCCTACAGGCAGACTATGCTCCTCTCTCTCTTACCCACCCTCTTTCTGAACTTGGCAAGGAATCTCAGAACTCCTAATTGATCCAAGGCTGCCTGCCCTCCAGGGGCATGTTTAGAAGAGACAGAGCAACTGAACACACCCATCCCCTTCTGCAGCTGGTTAACTTCTGAAAGGGCTGAGTCCTACAGCGGACAGCTTCACTGGGGGAAGCATTTAGTTCAGCAAAGACTTCATTTTTCCACTTCACCTTTTCCGCAATGCATTCTGCCCCCCCTTGCTCCCCCCCAGACCCCAGCTGCTTTGCAAGAGTAGAAAAATTCTTGCTACCTCCTCATTTTAAGGCGCCGAACACATTTTTTTCCTCTCCCTCTGCCTTGGTAGACATTCCAAACACAGTTTCCTAGCCGTAACTGCATGCAATATACATACATTCGTATATACATATATATATATATATATATCCAGCAATTCCCATCCTATTCTTACAAAGGGCTGAAGTTCGCAACCACACTCAAGAACATTGACAGAGTTTTTGTTTTTCTGAAAACTTTGCATCCTGCTTGCTCTGAAGTGCATTTCACATTCTAGCTCCAAACCCACCCAAAGCAGCACTTGCCTGTATACATCAACAGCAACTTTTAAACAGAAAATGCCTCTAAGCAATAATACCAAGATTTATGTCTAGTAAAGGAAGCTTGTACTTACTGTCTTCTTCTCCTTGACCTTTGGTGAGTAGTACAGTCGCTGCTATCAACAGCAGTAACCGAGAATCCACAAAGCTGAACATGTCTAAATATTAGACATGTAGACTCTTTGGGCCCCTTTGTTCTTTTAGAGTCCGGTCATACAGGGAGGATCTGACTATGTAGTTCCAATCCGGACCCCAGCAGAAACTTCCTACTGACTTTCCAAGGCTTAGGTTCGCTTTTTATATGATCCAGCATCCCAGAGAGGTGGATCCCATCCCAGCTTGTTTCTCAGTGCAGAGGGGATCTTGGACCAGCCCCTCAGCCAATCAGAGGAGCCCAGCTAACAGTCCCAGGCAAAAAAAAAAAGGGGGAGGCTATAGCCAACCCCCTTTGTATTCAGTCACAAGGGTATGGACCAGTCTATGTGGCTTTGGATCCTCTGTGTTGGCAGTGCAGGTTGCATGTACAGTAGGGATGTGGTAGGTTCTTAATGATATTGAAAGAGAAGAATCAGGGAGGAAAATTCTTTGAGCGAGGGGGAGAAGTGTGCTTTGCTGCTGCATAGTTAAGAGGCTGAGCAGTTGTTTGTTAGGAGGGAAGCTTTCCTGCATGGAAAACAATTGTGTGCTGCTTCACCAGGTGGAATGCGCTTCTTCTTAGGTGATCCAAAGATTCACCAGGGAAGCGAGGCATTGAAGAAGCTCACTTTTCAGCTTGCATTTCTCAAAATGTATAGAAAAAAACTTTTGGGGGAGTTTGCAAATATTTCCGAGATCGGGTGGGTGGGGGGAAATCCAGATCCCAGCATTGCTGCCTGTTGCTGTGGCTTTATCTTGGAAACCTTCCTTGTTTTGTTTTCAGAAATAATAACTGCGTTTTGTTAATTTTAAGTAAAGGCACACAAAAAAGGCTTTAATTTTTTTTGTCCAATGGGAATGGTCTTCTTGTTAAAATGTGCTGATGGCAGAAGAGAATAGGTTTTGAAAGGGTCTAGGAGGAAGGGAAATGAAGAGAGGAGGAGAAATAGAATCACTGGAAAAGTTCTGTAATGTCACAGAAGCAAGCGTGGCAGGGTAATGTCTTTAACATGCAGAAAGGAAATGCACAGGGGACTCTAGACAGCAGCAATAGGATTTTTCATCACTCCACACTATGTGTATGAGTATGTGTTCATTAATATAGAAAAATAATAATTAAATGGTCCTGTAGCTATATGCCTACACACACACAAATATGCATACACACACAAATATATCTATTGCAAATAAGCATGTTTGCATGCATCCGCCACACAGTAATGCAATATACAGCTCCATGTATTGTTATGAAAAAGCAGAAGTAGTGAGTCACTCAAAGCCTCAACAATTGCACTTCTTTCGACAGAATGGAGGTTTCCATGGGCTGTAAAAGTCTCTGATTTCTGCCTTCATGTTCTCACCCTGCTTTGCAAATCAAAGTCAATTAAAAACCCACTAAACTTCCACATGGCTTTTCAGAGGTGTGAATCTGGAAGTTACCAAGCAAAAGGAGATACCATGCCATCTCCATTCCAAGGCAAAGCCGCTTAATAATAAAATCTTCAAACTTTAGCTTCATTTCCTGAAATACTGCAGGAGGATTTTTGAATTCACTGTATAAAATGCTGCAAAGAGCATTTTCTTTCTTTTTTTTCCATCTCTCTCTTTCTTCCTCCTTCATTCTTTCCTGCTTTCTTGCCTCCTTGGCAGAGATCCACAGCTGTTTCTACATTTGAAGAGCCACGTTGGTTGGAAAAAGAAAAAGCACCCTGACAATAACACACAATATACCGTACAATTTTTGGAGGTTATAATTACACACAAAAATATATATATTTACCAGGCAATGGCAGACGGCAGTATCTTTAGTACAAAGAAGGAAAAGAAAATATTTATTGCACAGGATTCTTTGTAGGTTATCTAGACAATGTGGCATTAGGGTGTTTTTTATTTGGTTTTTGTTTTCTTTTAATGAGAGTGTGAAGTCAAATGTGTCTTTAGTCATGGAAGAAGACTGTACTACAGGTCCTCTATCTGCATAAATCATGGTAGTTGATGGAGCTAAGCCTCTTTATACCAGGATCTACCTCTGTCTACATTATCAGTGCTGGAGGGGTCATATTCTTCTGACCTAACTATCTTTGGTCCTACTACTTTGTTGGAAACACTCACACACAAACCTTGGAGTCTGCTTCCAGTAGTGTCAGTAAAAACACTTCCATTGGTGTTGGACATCCAAGATCAAGGTTTATGTTAATAAAGGGTGGCAGAGTCTAATGCCTGGCAGCCCACATTTCTTTACATGTCTTACTATTGCTTTCAGAGATAATAGGAGCAGAGGAAGTGACCTCAGCTGGTGTACCCCAAGAGAGCTCCATCTGAGTCAATGAGCAAACCTCAAGTTGGCATAACCCAACAGGGCTCCATTGGAGTCAGTGGGCCATGTGGCCAGTTGGTGTAAATCTACAGCCAGGAGCATCAGTTGTGGATCTCGCCCACAATAGATAGTCTACCCTAGCCCATCAGATTCCTCTTCAATGGGGTGGTTTCAGTTTGACTCAGATCTTGGAGTCAGGCGATCAAGGAGCGGCAGTGTGTGACAGTGATTCTATCTGGGTGCAAAGGGGTTTCAGATGCGACCTGATTAGAATGAAGGGGAGAGGCTCTGACATGACAATCACTTTCTATCGGTGCAAATAATGAGCCCAATCACTTTGTATAGGTGCAAGTAATGAGCCCTAGTGTAGGCCTGCCAATAATCAGGCCCCTCTACAGCTCTGTAAATAAGATCGCTAACTCTGCAACGTCTAAAATGCCCCGAACCTCCTCACACCTTCAGGCTGGATGATGGCTGGAACTCATGAGTGGCAGCTCCAGAAGCTTTGCATTTTTTTAAGATGTGTGTGTTCTCTTCCTCCCCTCCAAAAAAATGGGACACGTCGAAATTGGGACAAGGAAGAATCATATGGCGACCTCTACTATTTTTTTTTAGGGCTGCAATTAAATGCAAAGAAAGCTCCACCAAAAGTAGCTATCTATCCGTACTGGGTTTTTCAACACACACACACGCACAGACACCAAAATATCTGGCCAGCTTTCAACCCTGTATCTATGCGCCCAAGACACGTTGCAAGAGAAATCTCCTCCAATCACATCTTCTGAAACTTGAAAAAGCTGGCTGCCTTCCAGGTTGAAGATGTGTCTTTAATTTTTGCAGCATGACAGAAAAGAAAAGAATGTCATCTTTTTTTATATATATGTAAAGAGAGAAATGGTTGGGGGAAGGAGTAGAAAGGAGAGGAGAAGACGCCACCTCATCATTGGAGTTAGCAATTGAGGCCATTTCAGG